TTCAATAATAGTGCCCTTAAACAGTGCTCCTTGACTACTTAATTTTGTTAAATCAAAGAAAAGAGATTGATTGATCATAATAGGAATTTTCTTAACTTCACTATAAATTACTTCGTTCCGGATTTCTAAGTTTCTATAGAAGACTCTAACTAAGTTAGGATAAATAGGATTTTTCGGAGTCATAAATTCCAATATTCTAGAATTTTTGAAAATTTCATAGCATTCAAAGGACTCATCTTCAAAGAAATTAACACTTAGATATTTGAGATCAACAATGTTACGTTCAGAGAATAACTGAAAGTACCTATCTCGTTTACTTAGTCTTTCATACCATGCCCTAGGAGCTTGTTTTAATCCATATAGAGTCTTTTTCAATTTAAAAACATGGTTTCTTTACAAAATCGGGTTCAAAAAATTGGATTAGAAAAACTAGTTCAAAAAATTGGTTTCAAAAAATTGGTTTAAAAAAATCAGTTTTAAACTGGTTTTTATCCAATCCATTTTGGAAATGGATTAATCCATATATCTGGATCAAAATTGGTTCAAAACTGATCCATTAATTCGGTTCGATTCAAATCCGGATCAATAAACTGGATCGAATTGAAATCTATTAAACCAATCTATTTAAAAGTGGATCGAATCGGTTTGGATCGATTTTTTTAAAAAACCGATCCATACCCACCCTAATGACTACCCGAAATCATATCAAGTATCGAAAGCGGGAATAATAACTCAATGAAAAATGTAATAAACCATAATTTACTTTCATCAGTACTAATGGAAATCAAATTAAGCATATCCCAAACGTTCCATATGATATGGTTTTCGAGCAATATATCACTTTAAAACTAATTAAATATAAATCAAACTTAAAATCAACACAATCAATTGCATTCAACATTAGTGATTGAAAACAAATCGTAGAAATGACCTTTAGTTTACTATAATCAATCTTGATTAAAATCAGATAAACAATACTGATGATCAAATTGCATGTTAAAGTGAGTGAAAATCCATTCTCAAACTAGAAATTAAAAACCTCATGATTTTGAATCGATTTTTATCGTTCTAAATTTAACAATATAGATAATATTAATTTTTCATATACCTTATTAAATTTCTCATTACACAATAGAAGCGATAAATTAAGTTTAAATTTTTTTCATATACTTTATTAAATTTCTCATTACACAATAGAAGCGACAAATTGAACCCTACATGATAAATCGACTTTAAAAAATTCATAAATAAGATTTGATGGTACTATTGAAATTTTGGAGAAAATAAAATGAGTTAATTTAATCTCATCCGTGAAATGTTGACTCAAACACAATTGAACCTAATTTTGCCAAATATTATTTTCAAACTTTTATAAAATTTATATAAGTTTAAGAAAAAATAAAAAGTCAATTTGATCAAACTTATTAAACAAAGAGCTGATAAAATCTACTTCCTGTTCTACTGTGACGATTGTAGTTTTTGTATTAAAAAAATTTCATGATATTTTCATTTTTTTAATTGTAATTTTATTTATTTATTTACTTATTTATATTTTTATGAATTATTAACTACTACAATTAAAAATAATATATTCATTAAAATAACAAGTTATTTTAGTAAAATTATATAAAAAATATATATTTATTGTTATCTTTAATCAAAGATAGGTCTATGAACAAGAGAGTGGGGGAAACTTGTCTTACTAATTTTTTACCATCTTAAAATTATAAATATTTATAATTATGAATTATTCTAATAATTTTAAATGTAGTAAAAAATACAATATTATTCCACTAATTTGTTTTAGTTTGATTATTTTCATTATCTCAATTAGATATTCTTAATATTATTTATTTGAATTTAAATTTTACACATCTAAATATATTATTCTCAATTTTGTCAAATTATATAGTTTTTCTTTGTGTATAAATGAGTTTTATAATTATCTATCCTTTCTGTCTATTATATTTTATCTTTATTTTTAATTGGATTTTAGCAGTATTTTAAGAAATTATCAATAATTACAAATAATTTTATATTAAAATTTAAGTTATTAATTAAAAATTCAAATTTTAGTTTATATATAAATATTTATTTATTATAAATTTTAATTATAATATGATTTAAATATTTAAAATATTTTAACTTTTAATTATATCAAAATATATTTTTTATCATGTAACATGTATAACTAAACTATTTATATATATTTTTTTTCCAACTTAAAATTTTTGAATTGGTCACAATCTTTAATTTATGTATAAAAATCTTAAATTATAATAATTATGAGATAAAAGAAATATAATTAATAAAAATTTAAATTAATTTAACTTGACCCGCTTAACAAGTATATCTAGGAATGAGTTGGATCACCTCACTTATCATCTCTGTTTATTATTCATCACATTTATTATTTTTTCTTTCTATCTATTTATTTTCTTGTATCCAATTCAACCTAAAATAGTTTGCAATTTTCTTGAGATAAACATAAGGATGCCATTAAAGTGCATTAAAGGTGACTACAATCTACCATGGTTGACATAGTAAGAAGAGTTTAAATAATTTCCATAATATCATATAATTAAACTTTTTTCTCCCAATTGTAAAATAAAATAATCCTTTAAATAGTTGTCACATTGGAGCAACGTGGCGTCCACCAATGTGCACATGGTGGGAAGCAAGTTCCGCAGTCTCGCCCAGATGACACGTCAGAATACGAAAAGACCTTCTATATTTCAGCAACCTAACACCTAGCTACAACGGAATCTCACAAAGAAACTCAAATTCAAAGAAATAACCCATAAAAAGTGTTACGGGTGTAGCCCTTTAATTTTTTTTTGGTTCCTGGAGTAACCACCGCCGACAGCAGTGACTAATCTCGTTGGAGGCACCTTAAAGGGTGGGATAGCTGACCCCAAGATTTAACGCGGCTGCATACCCAAGGCAGGATTCGAACCCCTGACCTTGCTTAAGCGTGGATCAACCCCTACCGCTGAACCACACGCTTGGGGTTTTATTAGACTTAATTTAATTCAACCAAAATTTGATATTGTATGAGTTAGATAATAAATTTTGTATTTTTAACCTGTTATTTATCCCATCTAATAATAATAATAATAATATTTGAATGATTATTTATTTAATATAATATTTATTATCATTTTTATTTAGTAACGAGTTTTATATTTTAGGTTGATAAAATTATTATAATATAATATATTTATTTTAAATTTTATTTGTATTAATTAATTTAAGTTCTTTAATTGATAATAATATAATAAATTAATATTTATTTTATAATTAAATTTGTATTATTATTTACTTTATAAATTGATAATATTATATTTATAACAATGTATTAAATGATTTATATTTATTTTAAAATATTTATACTTTTATGAAAAAAAAAATTTAATTACATTAACTTAATTAATCTAATCCAACCTGTTTGTGATTAAATTGGATTAGATTAAGTTTTAAAAAATAAATTACACAAATCTAATCCAACTAAACTTGTTAAATTTTGATTGAATTAGATTTATCTAAACCCAATTCAATCTAAACCAACCCACTTACATCATAAAATAAGGCAAAGAACAACAAAAAGAAGGCTAAACGACCATTGTAGTGCAGTTTTAGAAAGTATTTATTAAAATGGGACTGTTTTGAAACATTTTACATCTTTGGGGCTCTTTTATTGAGTGTCGCTAAACGGCTAAACCTTTGCATTAAACTAAATAGCTTTGAAGTTACTTATTTGCCTAAATAAAATGGTTTTACTACTTATTTAATATTTAAAACTGATTGAAAAAAAAACCAATATTTAAACTGACAAAAAGAAAACCAATATATAAAATGAACTTTAAAATTTATCATGTACATTAATTTTATAGAAGAGAAATTCGTTTTTTAACGTATAAGAATCGAATTTAGCATTAAAGTATTTGGAACAATTCATATACAATATCAAATAAATTAAATTAATTTTTTATTAAATAAATATATATTAATTATTTTTAAGGTTAAATTTCATTTAATATATAATTATGTTTAAATCAAATAAAATTATTATGAAAAATAATTTTTATTTTAATATTTAATATCAATCTCTATTATTTTTATATAAAAGTATTTTTAAGGATTATTTTTTGATAAATTTTTTTAATAATTTTTTTATAAATTTTTTTATCTAATTTAATTTTATATTATTTATAACTTAAATAATTATTTTTACAATAAATTATCAATAAAAAAATAATTTTCTGTCAAAATATAAATTATTTATCTTAAATTTAAAATATAATTTACATGTTTTTTTAAAAATATAATATAAATATATTTAAATATAATATTTATTTTTATATATAATTTTTTATAATATAAATTTAATTATATATAAAAATATTTAATTTGTGAAATGGAAAAATTAAAATACTAGTTTATTATTAGTTATTAAACTAAAATAACTTTGTATAAGTGCTCGATGATATTATTTTAAAAACACCCTATTAAATATTTAGTTACTTTTGAAAAAAATATAAATGTCGATTTATTTTTTTAAATTATTAATTTAATAAATATTTTTAATAAAAATTATTATATATAAAGAGATGCGAGACACTTTTTTTTTGTCAAATACTATTTGAGTCTTTTGGAGGAAAATTTTAAATATATTTTGAATGTTTTATTTGTTTTATTTTACTCTCTAAAAATAACCTTTTATTATTTCTATTCCAAATATATCTGAATATTATTATTTATATCACAATTTTTTTTTTTTAATTTTGAACTAAAATGGATCATACTTTACACTTTCATAAACTCTTATATTTGAATGTTTATACATTCAAAGACCAAGTGCCAGCAATATATATTTTTAGAATCGGAATGATGTTTTATTTATTTAATTTTTTCTTCCTGTCACGTTAGATGTTGTATGATTTTTAATTTTTTTTTTTTAGATATAATGTTGAGATTTAAAAGGGGAGGATAAAGACTGAGAACATTGCAGGATCCGAAAACAACGGACCTGGGTGGGTGCGAGTTCTGAAATATTTTGTTCTGTCTCTCTGTTTTGAAAGTCTTGTTGTTTTGTTTTGTGTTGTTGATTCCTTCTGATTCTGAGACAGGGGAAGGAACAATAACAGAGGAATCAAAGTTCCTTCCGTGGAACCTCGATTCCTCATTCTGGCTTCTTCAACTTTCTCTCCTCTTTGCCTCCTCCTAAGTCCTAACTCAGGTCCTTTATCCTCTCAAACATGCTTTTTTTTCATCATTTTGTTCATGAATGAGAAATAACGAGCATGACCCTTTTCTCTGTTATGCACTGCATTGTTCTTCCTTATTCCATGTGATTGTGTTTCAACTAATCAACTTTGAACCTCGTGTTGTTCAATTCCTTCATGCATGTGTTGTTCAATTCCTTCATGCATGCGTTTATTTCCCAACATTTTTCACATGGCCAACTCTTAAAGCTTGTTTTATGTAATCCTTTAAACATTGCAGCTTTTTAGGCTTTTGTATTCATGCAATGAATGAACTTCCACGTTGTCTTTCCTAGATTGAGTTCATATTTGTTTTTTTTTTTGTATTGTCTTTTTATTTTCACTCTTCTAAACCAAATACAGGAATAAAGAAGAAAGTGTGTTTACTGTTTTTAAAAATAATTTTTTGTTTTCCAAAATTTCTTTGTCTCCGAAGCATATTTCCAAAGTATTTGTACCTTGAGAATATATTTTCTAAGATTTTGTTAAAGCACTCAAAGGAAACAAAAGAAGATGAGCAAACACTTTTCAAATTTTTCTTTCTGTTTTTTAGTTTTAGAAACAATTTTCAAAACTTAATAAATTATATATACTAAATTGATTGCTACAAGAGTGAAATTATTTTAGAAAAAAAAATGAACAGTCCTAAGTTTTTCTTTTTCTCTTTGGGGGTGGTGGTGTTCCCTTCTTTTTTTATTTTATTTTATCAGTAATATTAGGCACATTAAAGTTTGGTCTAATTGTTGCTGCTGCCTAATTGAGAATTTTTTCTTTCCTTCAAATGGATAGGATATTTTCATCTCTATTCCATTCTTCAGTTTTATCCAAAGAAGGTTATCACTGACTCACTATTGAATAGCCTTCAAGTGATATATAATAGTAGGTGCATCGTATATAGCACTCCTGGTCCAAGGACAGAGAGTAAATGTTACGCTGTGGAATGTACTTATTTTGAGTCGAAGATGTGCGCTACTGCTTAGTTTGATTCATTATCATTAAGATTTACTCGCATTAAAGTTGATCATATTTTTCCTTTTAATGTATGTGCTTATCTATATCTATCAGCAGGTGGTTTAAAAGCAATTGGTTTTGTCAAAAGAAAAATGTTCCTCTTTCACTAAAAGAACATATCTATGTATATAAAGAGGAAGATTCTGAATTTAGTCAGAGAATATGCCTTGGTTACCTTTGGACTTTGGTTTATTCTTCTGTGTTTCCTTTTCTAGATGTAAATTTGGTTATTTGCATTGCAGGCAGGTTCTTTCTTCAGAAGGAATTATAGCACAGTGCCTGTGTCTTTTTTAGTGAGTTGGCATCATATATAAGATCCAATGTTGGGTGGATTAGTAAGAAAATTTGCTTCTGCAATGGGAGGCTGTGCCTCAAACCCAAACAGGAAGGGTATTATTCATAAAAGAGAAAAGAAGAAAACTAGAAAACACAAGGGAAATATTGCTAAATCACTTGCTGACAAGCCACTGAAAAGGCTTAGCAATGCTGGAAGCCGTGTGGTAGACTATCGCAAATCTGAGGTTTCTAACATTAAGTTTCAACTCGCCCAACTCCAATACCACAACCGTAGTCGAAGTGCAAATGGTACTTTTTTCTATCCCTCCCTCTTTGTTGGAATGAAAACAGTTAAAGAGATAAGAAACCCGTAGTGAGTAACTTGTATCCAATTTTTTGGTGCTTCGGTTATTTATGATTTTATTTATTTTTTTTTGGTGAAGTTTTGAAAATGGTTCTTATGGCATTGGATTTGTTGGATTTCATGTAGTTACATAGATACTTTGATAAACATGATGAGCAATTATATTTTTCAGCAAAAAGCCATGAGGATGCCTGGTTTGACTCGGTTAGCATTATGGAGTCGGAATCAGATGATGACTTCATTAGTGTACATGGAGGTGATGCATTTATATCATGTTCCTACCCTTTGACTATTTTACCATTGTTACTTTGTTTATGCTCATGAAATTTCTGTTTCTTCCTTTGTGGCCAACAGAATGTTTTCCCTTTGTGGGTAATGCTTTGGGAAATGTCCCAAATACTCAGTTAGTCCAGTATGAAAGTGAATCATGCCTCGAGAAAAATGAATTATGTAAGTTCAAAATGAATTGAAATTTTTCCTATGTTTCTTTTGAACTTTTGGTGGTTGATTGGATTATTTCACTATTTAGATCTTCATCATTTAAAAATCTTCAAATGTAAAATAATTTTGTCTTAAAGCTTGCAGCTCTCCTTGTTCAACGTGACAATGTAATGTGTATTTAATATATGCCTATAATCTTGTTCGTTGTCACTTGCTTTATTTGATACAATTTTTTCTTGATTATGAGTTATTTTAGCATGCTATTATTGAACTGGTCAAAGAACTAAAACATAAAACAATTCATGATAATAAACTAATAAACCATTTATATATCCCGACCTAGAGAGCTTGTAATAATAAATGAGTAAATGGGTAGGTGCACCCGAGAGATTTCTTATTCGTCCTAGAGCTGGGCTTGAAATTCCAAGTACAACTGAAGAGAAGCCATGTCCTGGTTCCTGGTCTGCAGTTCCACCTTCAGTTTTCAATCTCCGTGGAGAAAATTTTTTCAGGCATGTCAGCTAATAGTATCTGTCAATCTTTTGTTATGCTATGCAATCTATATCCATTAATCATTTGATTTCCTTTTATTTCATCTGAAAGCTTGATATTATTAATTTATCGTATATGATAATAATTAATCATGCAGAAATAAGCAAAAGTGTCCTGCTCCAGATTATAGCCCTTATATTCCATTAGGTGTTGATTTATTTGCCTGTCCCCGGAAGGTAAATCACATTGCTCGGTATCTTGAACTTCCATCTGTCAAAGAACATGAGAAAGTACCTTCCCTCGTTATTGTTAATATACAGGTACACCCTCCATCTCAAACCACATCTTAACTCCTTATGGATGTTGTATTTCTGTTCGAACTTCGTGTAACATACAAGAATGCTACAAGCTTAGCTTAACCATGTTTCTTTTGTCCCAGTTGCCAACATATCCTGCTAGTATGTTCCCTGGAGAAGCTGATGGCGAAGGCATGAGCCTTGTATTATATTTTAAATTGTCTGAGAATTTTGACAAAGATACTTCTACACACTTTCAGGAGAGCATCAAGGTATTTCTTATCAATTATTTCATATTTTGACTCTCAAATCTGTCAGTTTACAATAACTTTCCCCTGAAAGGTATTTGCAGGTAAAATAACCCTTTAACTGTTGACAGCTTACTTCCTTTGCTACTTTGCTTCCTAAAGGTTATAGATGTTCAATATTTGATTGGATTATATCGAATTAAGTAGTCGGTGCCTTGCCAAGCAATTAAGGAGGACCATCACCACTCATAAAAAAGCCATATGAAATTTTTTCACTATGATTATTTTTTCTCATCATCAGTTACACTCTTTTCATTAAGGCTTAGGGTAATTCAGATTCTTAAATAAGCTTCTTATTATATACCAGTGGTTACTCCTTTTCAAACATGTCAAGCTAATTTGAAGAGTTAAAGTGGATGCTTATTACTTTCTATGCTTGCTTAATGTATTGACTATTTGAAGAATATGTATCTTGCTGTAGATTATTGGCATTTAGGTCTCTCCCTTTGAGGCCATTCAATATATTTTATGGGTTAATCCTTCCAACCAGTCTCATCTCTTTTGATTCTACAATCTCTATCAAATGATCCGCCAGGCAGAGTGTATTTGACTTTTTGATTGATTGCTCTCATGTGCTAGAAATTCTAAGCTTCACATTGGAACTATGTTCTTATTGTAATATGATCATTCTTTTTCTAATGTTACTTGGTATTGATTTTCTATTTAGTTTTACTGCAGTGGCTTCCACTTGCTACTTAATATATTCTAGTTTAATAGTAGTATCGTTTTCACAGAGATTAGTGGATGATGAGATGGAAAAGGTGAAAGGGTTTACAAGGGAAAGCTTGATTCCCTTTAGTGAAAGGCTAAAAATTTTGGCTGGGGTAGTTAATCCAGAAGACCTTCAGCTAAATTCTGCAGAGAAAAAGCTTATACATTCCTACAATGGCAAGCCAGTGCTTTCACGCCCTCAACACAAATTCTTTAAGGTATATACAAGTGCATCTCTTGGTTTAGAATATCTGCCTTAAAATATCAATCTTTAGCATGTTCATCCTATTGGAGTTGAGTTCATCGAGTATGGGAAATTTTATATACAACTTCAGTCATTATTTTGAAATGTTTTGATCTAATTACTGAACCTTTTACCTTTGAGCATCACCAACCTTATTGGATTATTTCACCCTGTCAATAGGGGTCCAAATTCTTGTAGTGATTGGAAACTCTAAAATTACTAACGCATACATAAATAAATTCTTTAACAAAGTATTTTTACAAAGGAATGTATGATCTTACCGAAGTTCTAATATCCAGCTATTTCCTTTAGCATAGTTGATGCTCACTTTAGTTACCATACAAAATGAAGCTCACTTTACCACACAATAAATCTTCATATCATCATATATCTGCAGTTAATTTTTGTATCTTCATTGCAGGGACCTAACTATTTTGAGATTGACTTGGATATACATCGCTTTAGCTATATATCAAGGAAAGCACTTGATTCACTCCGAGACCGTACAAAGCATGTAGTACTTAATTTGGGCTTAACTATCCAGGTATGTATATGGTTTTGCAACATTTAATTTGAACACTTCAGGTATCAAGTTAATCAACTACTAGCTCTCTTTGACGGATGATTTTGATTCATATTTTGTATTGATCCAATTATTGTCATTCCTTTTATAATTAATACAAACTAGAACCTGTTTGAAATTTGAATAAAACCTTTTTATAAACACTTTTGAGAAGAAAAAAAATGAAATTGACTTTTCTATAAACAAACTAATTTATGCATAAGTTAATTTTATTTTGATAAACTAATATGAGAAAACTTTTAATATATTTATACATAAGTTAATTTTAATTTAAAGAAATTTATTTCATTTTTGTTATTACTTATTAAAAATTCTCATAAAAAAATTTATCCAAACATAATCGTACTGAATTTCTTTGCAAAAGACAGACAGTATTAGATTTCTCTTAAGTTAACTTTCACTAATCTGCTCATAATTGTACCGCCCGTCATATTTTGAGTAAATAAATGATTGAAAGATAACGATGAATTCAACTAATTTCCAAACATATACTTCTTTTGACTTGAATATAAACAAAATTAATTAACATATACACTAATTAAGAAAGTTAATTAACATCATTTAATTTTATTAATCTTATTTAAAAACATTTTTTTTTCTTAAATTACCTTTTATTGAAACTTGATATTAAAAATAATTAAGGATCATATATTGAAAATAAAATCTCAATTAATGAAGGGTATTTTTTTAATCTCAATTAATGAAAGATATTTTGGAAATGGTATTTTGAAATATGATATTAGTTAAAATTTGCATATATTTTAGTTTCCTGTTCATAAGAATTTTTTACTTGAAATCGAGACTGGAAGGAGTAATCAAGAAGTATAGTACAAGAAAAATCTATTTAGATGCCCTTATCAGGTCATGATTTAATTATCAGAGTTCTAGGAGTATCTTCCTTCTTTTAGCACTTAGCTTTAGCAAGTCTGATGTTTTTCCTAGCTGATTGATTGCTATATGAAAGAAGTTCCATATATTCATATAAATACACATTTTTCTATGCTTTCACAGGCACAGAAGCAAGAGGAACTGCCAGAGCAAGTCTTGTGCTGCTTACGGCTGAATAAAATTGATTTTGTCAACCATGGTCAAATTCCTACCATTGTAGCTATTGATGGTAATTAATTCATATAGCCATCGGGTGGAAAATTGGGGTGGGACCCAGATGATGACTATAGGATAAAAAGAAAAGACAAGATTAAGGGTAATTTTGTAAGAATTGGGTGCTAAATCTATTTACTTGACAATGGAGGAAAAGGAAGAGCAGCAAGTGCTTTCTCTCATGCAAGAATGTTTTTGCTTTAGTGTATCAAATTCAAAGCCCTGAATGTGTGCTTTAGGTTTACCATTTTCTCGTGCCTTTGTTCTCCCATAGGTAACAGATTCTAGAGTTAGGATCTAAACTCCAGATTCTGTGGTCATGTTCCTGGAGTTGGTCAAAAATGTAAATTTGAAGTCCACCTAGGAGGAGTTGCTGAGTAGAATGTATTAATTAATTCTGATAACTTGTGTATCTTAAATTCTGAGTCGTTTTCTTTTACTTTCTTTAGCATTTAGCATGATCACATGCACATCGCACATGTTAGAAGAGGGAAAAAAGAAAAGATGCAAAGCCTTTGCCTTGGTGAAGGAAGTTTGTCTCATATTATATTCTAATGATGTAAACTCGACAAAAATTAGGGCGTTCTGAATATTGAAAAAATGACTTTTTATTCAATCCACTAAAATAATAATGAAGGGCAATAAATTTATGGGTTAAAAATTGATTATTTATAAGATTAATTTCATTCTAAAATTACTAAAGTTGCTATCATTTAGAGAAGTGTTTTTTTTTCAAAAACAAACAATTCCAATTTTTTTTTGTCAAAATAAGAAATAATTAAGAAAGTTTTTGTTGGTTCAAAATAAAAGTTAAAAATAGATTATTAATCTTATTATTTAAAGTAGTTAATATTTGGAGTAGTTTTTTTACATTTTTTTTTCTTCAAATAAGTAATAATTAAGAAAATTTTTGTTGGTTCAAAATGAGTTATGATAAGATTAATTTCATTATATAATTAATTAGGAATAATAGAATTGGTTTATAACATTTATTTTATGCAATAAAATGTGTCCACTGATATAGTTAAAGTAAAAATATAAACTTTACGTAAATATTATCTTATTATATAAAGCTGTTAGCATTGAAATTATAATATTTTTCACAAAGTGATCAATTATATTGTAAAAATAGCCTGTTTGTTTCAACTTAAAAAATAATTATATAAAAAATACTTCTTAAAAAATATTTTAAGAAGTAAATAGAATTTAGTTCTTAAAAAAGACCAGAAACTATTTATTTTAAAAACAACCAGTTTAATTAGACAAATACACTTAAAGTAGAAAATTGTTTATTCTATTAAATAAATTTATTTAAGAAATAAGATTCTTTAAATCAAGTTATTTTGTTATTATGAACCTACCCATATTAAATTTTTTTGTTATATATCAATATTTGAAATATATGTTATTTATGGCGTAGTAACAAAAATAAGATTTATTTCATACATGATTAATGATGTTGGATTATTGTTTTTCTTGCAAGATCATAAGTACACATATTGAAGTTGGAATTAATGCTAAAATGAAAATTGAGAAAAGACAACATGAAATAAGATGTCTAATTGTGGAAGAAAATATGCATAAAAATTTTGATGATGTCAAAGCATTGAAGAAAATTCAAGGTTAAGTTAAAGCAAGTTGATCAAGGAACAATATCTCAAGAATTATATAGATTAGTCTTGCCAACTTAGCTAAACATGTAAAAAAAAACTTTTAGAAATTGCAAGTATGCTTGGCCATTAAAATTAAGATTTCAAAAACTTCAATTTAATTTCTTTTAAATCTAAAGCAAGTTTTTAATCTTTTGAAAAGTAAGTAAAAAGGGTGTTCAAAAGAATTAACAATTTTTTTTTTTTTAAAGAATAGTTTTAAAACAATATCTTTAATCATGTAAATGAAGTTTTCTAAATCAAAGTCTTTGAAGCACAAGAATAATTTGGTCTGGTAATTGATTACCAATTCCTATAATCGATTACCAGTAGAGGGAATTTCAAAATTTAAATTTGAAGATACAACGTTTAAATTATTTCAAAATTATAACCGTTGTAATCGATTACTAAATTCTTGTAAACGATTACCAGTATATCTTTTCTTAAGAATTCAAAAAGTTACACCTTTTCATGAAAAGGTACAACCATGGGATTCTTATCTATAAATATGTATGATTTTTCTTTAAAAGGGTTACAAACTCAAGTGTGAAATACTATTACAAAAATTTCTTGGACATAATTACTTGCAAATTCTTTACAAGTTTTTTAAGGATCTTCATACTGTAATATCTACTCTTCAAGAGAGTTATTTTGAAAAACCCTGATAATTGTCTAATTAGTTTGATGAAATTTAAATTAGAGACACTTATCTAGCACACTTTTTGTACATATTGATATAATTTTGGTCTATATATACTTAGAATCAAAGAGGGACTCTTAATTTACATTATTACATGGAGTGATGAGTTTTTGATCAGATTTTCCTCTTATTTTGTAGTTTTTGAAATCTGGAGGCAAACGGCTGAGCGCCTTGAAATGGCTGAGCGCTTTCAAGCCAGAGAGCTCAACAAATGCAACAAAGGAGAGGCGCTCAGCCACTCTAAGGCGCTGAGCGGTTTTGGCCCTGGAAGAAGGAGTGCTCTCTGCCTCCTAGGCGCTCAGCGGATAAGAAGCGCCCAGCCCCTTATGCTTGCTTAACAGTGAAGAATCTCTCAGGCGCTCAGCGGATTTGAACGGCTCAGCCCTTCAGATTACTTCATGGTGAAGAATTCTTCAAACCGCTCAGTCGTTTCAAGGTGCTGAGCGAATTCTTCTCTTTCTTGCCTACTCTGTTTTAATTCTAGCACTTATAAAAGGGCAGGGGAGAGAGAAAAGGAAGGGGGGAGACGAAAACCAAGAGAAAAACAAGAGCTGGGAGCACAGGAGGAAGAAAGAACAGAGTGGGAACGAAGATTTGGAGGCTGGATCACTTGGGAACGAGGATCAACTCCTTTTCTTCATCTCTTCCTTTGTAATTTCTTCTTCCACTCCTTTGATCTTGTGAATGGCCATGAGGGGCTAAATCTTTGAGGATTGGTCTGGATGTAACTACTAACTCTTCTTCTTCTTAAATATATATATGCATTTCATTTTCATTACTTGTGTTTGATTCTTCTCTTAATGCTTATATCGGCTTGATCACCCGTTGTATGATTTTTGGTTTTTGAATCCGGTTGGAAAACGTTTTTGAAAACCCGAACTGAATAGACCAATCCTCAAAGATTTAGCCCCTCATGGCCATTCACAAGATCAAAGGAGTGGAAGAAGAAATTACAAAGGAAGAGATGAAGAAAAGGAGTTGATCCTCGTTCCCAAGTGATCCAGCCTCCAAATCTTCGTTCCCACTCTGTTCTTTCTTCCTCCTGTGCTCCCAGCTCTTGTTTTTCTCTTTGTTTTTGTCTCCCCCCTTCCTTTTCTCTCTCCCCTGCCCTTTTATAAGTGCTAGAATTAAAACAGAGTAGGCAGGAAAGAGAAGAATTCGCTCAGCGCCTTGAAACGGCTGAGCGGTTTGAAGAATTCTTCACCATGAAGTAATCTGAAGGGCTGAGCTGTTCAAATTTGCTGAGCGCCTGAGAGATTCTTCACTGTTAAGCAAGCATAAGGGGCTGGGCACTTCTTATCCGCTGAGCGCCTAGGAGGCAGAGAGTACTCCTTCTTCCAGGGCCAAAACCGCTCAGCGCCTTAGAGTGTCTAAGCGCCTCTCCTTTGTTGCATTTGTTGAGCTCTCTGGCTTGAAAGCGCTCAGCCGTTTTAAGGCGCTCAGCCGTTTGCCTCCAGATTTCAAAAACTACAAAATAAGAGGAAAATCTGATCAAAAACTCATCACTCCATGTAATAATGTAAATTAAGAGTCCCTCTTTGATTCTAAGTATATATAGACCAAAATTATATCAATATGTACAAAAAGTGTGCTAGATAAGTGTCTCTAATTTAAATTTCATCAAACTAATTAGACACTTATCAAACCCATTCTATCATTCAATCTGTAAAGGAGAAAGTGTTTTTCTCCTGGATGGTTTTGAATCTCAACACAAGGAAGGAAAATTCCAAGGTGTGTTAGAGGATTCAAGTTTTGTAAGGTTTACAAGAATAGTGAAATCTCAAGTTGGAGACTTGAGGACTGGACGTAGGCAAGATTGGCCGAACCATTATTATAAAATGAGTTTGGAATTCCTTCTCCTTACTTTTTTAATTATTCCTTTTAATTGTCTTTAAGAAGTGTGAGTCTTCATTTTCTACATATATATTTTACAAAAGAAGTTGAATTTACAAGAAAATAGTTTAAAAACTTTTAAAAGAGGAAAACTTGAAAAACTTAATTCAACCCTCTGTTAAGTTGTATGAGGCTACTTGTCTAACACTAATTAATTAAAGAGTAATTATTCAAAATCTAATATATATTCATTATAGTTATTCAAATTTGAATGAACTCTTGTTAATTAAGTTGTTTCACACTCTAATGTATTACTAATATCAATTAGTATTGTTTTAATAATTTTGTTGATAAAGAAATTTGAAATATAATCATATTTTATAATGCAAATGGTTGAAATATAACCATGTCAAATCCCAGGAAAACTTTAATAATGATTTTGATATGTATAATTATGTATTATAATGATATATATATATATATATATATATATATATATATATATATATATTATCACTTAGTGTATATTAGATCAATAATATATACACACACACACACACACATATATATATATATATATATATATATATATTATCACTTATGGTGTATTAGATTATTATAATTTTAATATATCAAAAGAAATAAGTAATACTCTTGTATTTAGTCATTGTTTCAACTAGTTTATTCTAATATAAAAAAAGTTAATCATCTATACATTGTCAGTGTAAAGATTTTTACACTGGCAACCAATTATATCTTTTAAAGTTACTTATTTTATTATTATTTCATTAAATAAGCAACTGACATGACATTATTAAAAGATATGATTGGTTACCAGTATAAAAAACTTTATACTGGTGGTGTATAGGTAATTAACTTATATAAAAGTTAACTAAAAGTTAATATATACTTAATTTTATCTTTATCTCATTTTCTTAAATTTTCGTCTCTTTTTTGGTTTGTGAAGTTTGTTTATAGCTATAAATATAACAAACAAAAGTATACGATTAAGTATATTTGCATCTTAGTTTTCATTTTTTTTCCAATTATAAATTACATAGGATTCTTTGGATAGAGAAAGAGTGAGAATTGAATTATTATTCAAGGTTTTTTTTTATTATTATAATCAAACTTTTAACTTTTAAGTTTAGATCATAGTGGGACACATGCTTCCTCTCTGATTGAAATTAGCATAGTAAAAGTTGATGTTTTTTTTAAGAAAATTATAGATATATGTTGCACAATGTAAGTATCATT